ATTTAGTAACTCCACCTTCTCTGTATTTTCTGTCACCAGGGCACCACCTCATTCATTAATGGGCCTACATTGCCTCTAATGCTAGTTTTATCTGCAGTGTATTTGAAGAAGCCCTTTCTGTTGTCCTTGTCCTCCCTTGCAAGGTTTAATTCTTGCCTAGTTGTCTCCTTACATCCTTCGAAAACAGTCTTATATTCCTCCCACGTGGCCAGCCAAATGGCCCCTCCTTCCATGATCCATACCCTCTCCTCTTCCACTTGAGTTTGCCCAGCAGTTCGCTGTTTAACAATGCAGGCCTTCTGGCTCCCTTTCTTGACTTCCTATCTGTTGGGAAGCTCTTGATGTTGAACTTGGAAGAAGTGGTCCTTGAGCCAGCAATGTGCACTTGCAGCCCAGAAGGCAAACTGTATCCTGGGTTGCATCAAGAGATGTATGACCATCAAGTCGAGGGAGGTGATTCTGCCCCTCTATTCTACTCGCTACTGTGAGACCCACTTGGAGTGCTGCATCCAGTTCTGGGGTCCTCAACACAAGGAGAACACTGAGTGTTGGAGCAGGTCCAGATGAGAGCCACAAAGGTGGTCAGAGGGCTGAAGCACCTCCCCAGCGAGGGCAGACTGAGAGAACTGGGACTCTTCAGTCTGAAGAAGAGAAGGCTCCAAGGAGACCTTATAGCAGCCTTCCAGTACCTGAAGAGGGACTACAGGAAAGCTGGTGAGCAACTTTTTACAAGAGCAGGTAGTGACGGGATGAGGGGAAATGGTTTTAAACTGGATGAGGGCCGATTTAGACTAGATGTTGGGAAGAAATTCTTTCCTTTGAAAGTGGTGAGACACTCCTTTATTCTGAATTTGTGTGAAATCAGTAAATCCTGGAAAAAAGCAGCTTTCACATTCAAAAAGATTTGCACTCATAGTATGAGCAGCTTTAGTGGTTGAGACTAGTGTAATTTCACCAGATCTTGCTGCACATATAAGTCCCAAATCCTTGAAATTTTCATAGAATCCCAAATGTCAGAAGTCCCAAATGTCCAGCCATGAATCTTTCTAACATCTACCTGAAAATATACCTGAATCACTGCAAGGAGATTTATGGTGAGTAAACTCCTTACACTTATGCCAATAAATTACTCAGCATTATCTTAACAAAGATAATCTAAGTGATCCAGTGTCATCCCAAATGATTACATGATGTGGAAGCATCATGTACATGAGCAAGCATGTCCGTATCTCAAAGGTTACATAAATCTTCCCTTTAAAAAGTCACACATGCATTTATGAACTAAAGAATTACAGTAGTTTCCCATATCACAAAATAAATTTCCCAATGTGACAGCATAGAAGAACTGTAAATATTTTAGAAAACACAATTTAAATAAAAGACATGGAAGTATAGGAAGATTATCCATCCTCATTTACGTTTGTATATACAACCCTATTTCTTTTAGAATGTGTACCTATGTGTAGTGATACAGTTTTTAATTACATTAATTACATCCTTTCAACAGAAGTCCTGTTTCATGCTGCAAAATTTGCAGATAAGTATGAAAGTCAATTGTTCAGTTTCCCACCTTCCCAGCACTAATATCAGCTATCTGGACAGGTTATACATACCCTAGTGAAAATGAGATTTCAGGCTTGCTGATAAAAATTGATCCTGAAACCACACACACTCAAGTTTTAAAATGTGTGTACAAGAGAAAGTGAGAAAGAGAACAGAAGGTCTTACTTCTGCAGCTCCTGAAATGAAGTGCAGGCTACAGCCTATTGTCTGCTCTCTGATCTATGAATAAAATTGGGGAATTGAAACCTCAGGAAGATGAAACATCTTCTCAAGTAACTCCCAATTCCTCCTCTGATCAGGAGAAAAAAAGGAAAAAAAAAAAAAAAAAAAACCAACAAAGAAGGCTGATAGGAGAGAAGTGTTCAGTATACAAGAAAACAGTCAGGACAAATCTGAGATTATTTCCAATCTCTTCAGAGAAATCTAACAGATATGTGTAGCAAAACTGGTACATTCACTGAACATTGTAAGTCATGAGTGCTGTTTAATAACTTTATGTACAAGTAATTAAATGATAAGAAAGGTAGAGAGATCTGTAAACACACAGTCATAAAATCATGAAATAATGGTTTGTGTTGGAAGAGATCTTAAAGCCCATGCAATTCTGAGCCCCCCACTAGCTGAGGCAGCCCAGGGCTCCATCCAACCTGGCCTTGAGCACCTCCAGGGATGGGGCACCACAGTTTCTCTGGGCAGCTGTGCCAGTGCCTCACCACCCTCAGAGTAAACAATCTCTCTCTAATATCTAATCTAAATCTACCCTAATTCAGTTTAAATATATTACTCTTTGTCCCATATCACCTGATAAAGAGTCTCTCTCTGTCTTTCCTTTTAGCTCTCTTTAGATTCTGGAAAGCTGCTATAATATCTTCTCAGAAAGAAACTCCTCTTTTCTAAACTAAACAACTCCAACACTTGGCCTTTCTTCATAGGATAGGTGCTCCAGCCCTACTTATTTACTTTGTGGCCCTCCTCTGGATCTGCTCTAACAAATCCTTTTCTTTCTTGAGCTGGGAACCTCAGTGCTTAACGCATTTTTCCAGGTAGGGTCTCAAAAGAGCGGAGTAGAGAGGAGAATTATCTCCCTCATCCTGCTGTCCACTGTGTTTTTCATGCACTTTTTGTGCAGCTCAGGACACAATTGGCTTTCAGGGCTGCAAGTCACAGAATCACAGAATCACAAGGGTTGGAAGGGACCTCAAGAGATCACTGAGTCCAATCCTCCTGTCAAAGCAGGTTCCCTGCAATAGGTCACGCAGGTAGGCATCCAGATGGGTCTTGAATGTCTCTATAGAAAGACTCCATAGAAGGAGACTTAACAGCCACTCTGGGCAGCTCATTCCTGTGCTCCATCACCCCTACTGTAAAGAAGTTCAGACTTGCTGAGGGTGCATTCAATTCCATTGTCCATATCATTGACAAAGATGTTAAACAGCATCAGCCCCAGTACAGACTTGTGAAGGACACAACCCATTGCTAGTATCCGCCTGATACTGAGCAGTTTACTGCAACATTTTCAGTGCATGCATCCTGCCAATTCCTTGTCCACCATTAGTGCTCCATTTATCAAATCCAGATCTCTCCAATTTTGAGACAAAGATGTTGAGGGGGACAGCATCAAATGCAGTATACAAGTCCTGGTAGATTATGTCAGTTGTTCTTCCCCTATCCATGAACACTGCAACCGCATTGCAAGATTCCACCAAATTTGTCAGGCACAATTTGCCTTTAGAGAATCCATGATGATTGTCACTCTCAGTTTTCCATGTGTCCTACCATAGTTTCCAGGAGGATCTGTTCAATGATCTAGCCAGGCACAGATGGAGACTAACTGGCCTGTAGTTCTCCAGACCTCTTTTTTTCTCTTTTTAATATAGATATTTTTCCTTTAAAAGCAGAGGTTGTGTTTCCCTGTTTCCAGACACAGGGAAATTCAAGAGGCTGACAGACATCCATATATGATGGATCTCAATATGGTCCCATGGATTTGTGCACATTCAGATTCCTCAAATAGTCTCAAATGTGATCTCTCTGACAGAGGGAAGTTCTTCATTCTCCCAGTCCTTTGCATTCTGTGAATTGGACAGTGTGACTAGAATATTTTCCATTTCACTTATCAGGGACCATACCATTTCTTTATCTTCCTTTGTTGTTCTAGGCATTTTAATAAGTCCTTCTCGTTATTTTTTTCACCTCTAGCACACCTCAGGCCCAGCTTTGCCTTGAATTTCACAATTTCCTGGACCACATCCCTCAATTCCTAGAATTTGTATTCCTGCCTCCACTGCCTATGCATTTTGGTTTTGTGCCTTAGTTTGGCTAAGAGGTCTTGACTTAGGCAACCTAATTCCCTGGTTCATTTGCCTGGTCTTTTGCATGTCAGGTTTGAGAGCTCTTATGCCCAAATAAAAAAATTTTTAAATACCTTCCATCTCTCATTTGTTCTTGTACCTCTGAGGGCATTTTCCCAAGAAATCCAAAGCATTAGTGCCCTAAGCAGTCAAAAATGTGCCTTTCAGGTACTGTGCAGTACGTGGAAAGGCAGATGCTATGTTTCTCAGTTCACAGAAAGCTGCTTTGCTGGGTAAGTGTCTTCCAGGACCCAGGCCCATTCTTTGGTCTCAAAATCAGTCAAGGTAGCAAAAGGCCTTATGCTACTCACTTCAGAGCCTATTAACCTGGGCGGTTACTTGCCTCCACTCATGGGCAGTGTGTAATGGCTCATGTGTGCTCACATTACTGTATGCATTTAGAATGAGGACACTGAAGTTCATGCAAGTGATGCTGCACACCTCTGAGGACCAGTGCACTAACACAGGTGCCATAGTGTTGTTTTGGTACCCTCAGGGCTTTTAAATGCCAAAACAAACTTTACCTTGACTGTCCATTGAATGTACCCAGAAAAAAAGTATGTGCACAAGAAGGATACTGCCCTTGTCAAGTGGAAGATTGACAAAGGAGAAGTTATGGGAGCTGAAAACATTGGTTTGCTACTCTTTCATAGGAACTGCATTTGAGGTTGAATAGTGCAGAGCTGGAAACTGCTGTTACAAAGTCCACAGCATCAGGCATATTGCAGAGGTGACCCTCAGCAATAAGCAGAAAACAGTGGTGGTGGTTTGAAACAACAGTGCTGACCTATATCTAACCCAGAAATTTATCTCACATCTGCATCTGCCACTGAGGCTGTGTTCTATACAGAAGCCCATATGAAGCTCATGTAACAGGAAAAAGAAGAAAATTACATGAATGAAGTGGTGAAGAAGCTGTCACACCGTTTTTATTTTTGCCTCCCTACAGCAATACAGTGGCTCCTTTTGCCCGTTGCCTTAAGGAAGTGCGGTGTAGGGGAAATGAGTAAGACATAGGCGTAGGCGGGATTTTTACACCCTTTTACGTGAGGTTTAGAAAAACTCAATAATGAAATAACACTGTCAAAGCACACAAAAATATGCCACTGAGTTGCACTCACGGCTTCTGCTTTTTCTGTGCCTGACTGCTATAACTGCCACAGGGAAACAGGTTTGAAAGGACAAGGTACGTTTGCTTTTGACTTTATTTGTTGTACAGTTTTACCACAAAGAAGGTAGGCAAAGAAATACTGCATTTATGTCACTTGTGTTAATTTAAATGTTCTTAAAATAACTCTTCGAGGGATGGGTAGATACTATCTCCAAAATGCATGCTTTTGTCTCCAAAGACAGATGTAGCCAAAATTTTGATGGCATTTTAGTATATTTTTTCTATAGTTTATTTATCATATAAAATTATTTTAAAATGAAGAGTGACCATATTTCCAGTATTACTGGGCTCTACCAAATATGCTCTTGAAGAAAGCCTGGTCTGACTGGAAATGTTCAGATTTTTGCATTCATAGAGCAAAATCACTGTAACAGTGAGTTCCTTTTAGGAGTACTGCATTTAGGCACCAGTTAAATGAAACTATTTAAGTGTCTCTTCTCTTATTCCAATGTTAATAGTGAAGTAGAATATTCCATATATGCAGAGTTCTCTGAAAATGACAAAAGAACAGAGGCATAAATTGAATACGCCTAAAAGTAAGGCATATTTCAAAAATAAGCCTCATAGTAAGGAATAGAGTATATATATAAATTATATTACATATATATATATAAAAATTATGTATATATATATTTAAATATATATATGTATATATATATATCTTTCACTTTTTTGTTTTTTTCCAGTAACATCTTCCTTTCCTTTGTTTATAAAAGTCATTGTAGTATCTGACATAATACAGGCTCTGATAAGCTAAAATAAGCTACAGGGTCGGATGTTGCTTATAACCTGGATGTTATTAGGCTAATAATCTAATGAGAACTAATCAGTCTGAAGAATTGATAATGTAACAGGATTTCAACATAGCTGATATTTCCGAATTTCTAAAATGGACATCTCCTGTGGACATGTGTCAGGGCTGAGTATTTTCAGAGATGAAATGAAGGGTGGGTTGTTCTGCAACACAAAGCCTAGTTGTAACCCATTTTCACAGAAAGTTTATAAACAACAGTGCACAATGGATGCAGAATGGAAACAGCTTTGCATGGAAATGCTTCATGTTTATTTAAAATTTTGGTCAATAATCTGCACATCAATTGTGTGAGATGTAAAAGAAAGCGCTTCCCACCTCTGAGGAGAACAAGTACTGTTCTTCTAGTGTAACTGTTTTTCTAAAGAGAATATGTGAGACCACAGGTATAAGAAAGAGGAGGAAAAGATCATTTCAAAAATAAATTTGCAGATTTCACAGAAAAAGAAGATAGGAGGCATTTCTGTTCATTAACTACATGCAGGTTCCAGATGATGTAAGAGGCAGAATGAATTAAATCTCCTGTATTCAAGGCAGAAAATTTTGTTAAATAGAGATATGTCTGGGCTGATCACTCTGACTTACCTTTTCAGGCAGGAAACACAGAGAAGACTTCATTTATCTCATCCTAGACTAGTTTGAATTAACTGTGTCTTAAGTACTGTTTCTTTCCAGCCACTACAAAGGCAGCACAGAATTACTGCCTCCCTCGAGGGCACATTTACACAGCACCTGTATGCTGTTAAGACAAACTGCACCCCACGGTCTGATGCCGTCTTCAGAGTTAAATGTTAAATGTTGAAAGTAATTCATTTTTTTCATTTCCAAAAACAAATCATGTTCTTTTAATTCTAAAATATGCTATTTGCAACCTTCTACAAATTATCTGATCTACTGTGTCCAAGAGCTGAAAGATGTTTTTACATTTTCTATTCAAGAACTACTGAATAAAATATGAAATTGGTCTTGGCCCAGCAGTGAGATCCAGTCCTTCCTTGTTAGTAATCCCAATTACCACAAAGAACAGAAAACAAAATTTTATTATCTCCGATGATATTTTTTGCAGATAAAACATTTTTTTTCCCAGTACAGCTCAGAGGAAAGAATCATGGTAGTATGGTTCTACCTATTTTTAAGGAAATAATGATAAAGAAATGATGAATAAAGGGTTTTTAAAAGAGGAATTGTAGAGCAAGAAACCACTAAGAAAATTTGTCAAGCTCTCAAGTATAAACTGGAGGGAGAAAAATTTAAATATCTCATTGAAATAATGGAAGATAGTGGGAGAAATATCTAAGGAACTTAACTGTTATTAAAAATGAAGGTAAAATTGTAACACTATAGGGAATAGGATACACTCAAAAATAAACAGCTCCCTAAGGGAAAGGTAGTCAGAATTTTACACACCGTGGAAAGGTGGAAATTAAAAATAAATTCCCAGAGTTTGGAATGAAATTCCTATCCGTAAAGCGAACAAAGTGACTCGCACATAATTCTCCAGCTGATCATGGCTGTTTGTAGGCATAGTAACATCATGGCTGCAGAACACAGGCTCGTAAGTTTAAAGAACATTTGGGTGTTTCTATATGCTTCTCTTAGTTATAAAAAGCTGAAGTTACAACTGAAGAGGGCAAGGAACTGGTTTCATTTGCCTTTTCTTCGACCACAATGCCGCAATGCCACCTCAGGAGTTCCCTTTACCCTACTATGTCCTCAGTCAACCTAGCTGTTTGTTGGGCCATTCCTGAACCAGGTTGTTTTTGAATTTGACACCAAAATAACCCTTTTTCCTTTTGATTTACAGGATCACCAAAGGCTTTATAAAGCCTAACTTCTAAGATCCTCGCACAGTGCCTATGATCATACTTCAGCCTGTTGCACATTTTTGATGGGAAGAACACTTCCCTATTTCCAATCCAGAAGTATTTCCCTTGTGTAAATGGGGAAATGAAGTGCACAGATTTGATTGACCCTGGGTCATCAGGTGAATCTGTGAAATAACAGAGAAATGGTTGATGGTCTTGGTCATCTTAGTATCATGATTTACTCACTGGACTCTGAAGAGTGTACTGTAATATGTTTATATGAACACATATATAAGTCAGATATAAACAGCTCTATATTGAATGCTTACATGTCTCTAGCAACAGGAGTATTTTGTCATTTTTTTTTTTGTCTCTTGAATTACTCCTCTTTATTTTCAGATGTTTACAAAATCAGATAGTTGCTACTCTTGTGTCTCCATTGAAATATCTTGTCCCTAATAACAACTCCCCTAGTGCATCCTGATTACCAGTGTGCTAAGTGTGAAGAGGATGTTTCCCCCGAGGTTTTCTGAGTGATGGGAAGTTATTCATTTATATGTATTTGTAGCCAAGGTATATAGTGCTGTATTAGTTCTCCTAGATATCGGCCTTTGCCTCCAGAAATTTTGAGTCAGGCCATATGTATTTAGTTCTTAAATTCCTAATACGTTCAGATGAAATAAACTTTCTGTAAATAAGTTCCAAATACCTTCATACAGCAGAGCAACTGCCTGGAGCCACCAAAATATGTATATACATATTAGGTACAAGAATGCATTTAAGCTCCTTATATTCTAGAGAATTATTTTTTTCATACAGCACTGTTGAGGAGAGAAAAGAATTCAGAAGACAGTACACTTTTCTGCATTAATAACATGGATATTATCAAAGTTATGTGCAAACAGAATTCCACAAACCCTTGAATCCTTTATCAGTCTTGAATAGGTTAGCAATGGATCTAAATTAAAGATCCAAAATATGCTTTTCTCTCCTCAAAATCATGACAATTCTGTAGGTCATATCTTCAGAAAACAGAGTTACGGTTGGGTTGTAATCACCTAGTTTTAACACAGAAAAAAAAAGTAGTGGACAACTTATCTTAAATTCTAAAACCTTTGTAAGTCCATACTCATAAGTTTAGAGCACTTAACACGAATGCAGGATAGAAAACTTCCCTGGTTCATAGTTGCAGAATTTGTATTCCACTGTAGACTGGACCTTTGATAAACTGAAGATGTAAGCAAAGGACACATCACAGAATCACAGAATCAGAGAATCACAGAGGTTGGAAGGGTCCTGAAGAGAACAAGTCTAACTCCCCTGCTAAAGCAAGCACCCTACAATAGGTTGCACAGGTAGGCATCCAGCTGGATCTTGAGTATCTCCATAGAAGGAGGTTCTGCAACCTCTCTGGGCAGCCTGCTCCAGTGCTCCGTCACACTTAGCGTAAAGACATTTTTCCATGTGTTAGTACAGAACTTTCTCTGTTCAAGTTTTATGCTATTATTCCTTGTCCTATCGCTACACACCACCAAGAGCCTGGCCTCATCCATTTGACTCCCACCTCCCCTTAGATATTTATAAACATGTATCAGATCCAATGTTCATAGATATCTAAAGGGAGGTGGGAGTCACACCAGTGAGTGACTTTGTTAGTAACCTCCACTATGTAATTGTGCCTGAACAGATTAAATCACAGCCACATCTTCTGCATCTGTAACAATGGTAGACAATCTTCAGACTCAACACAGATAAAATGATTGCTATATTGATGCAAATGTGCAACTGAAAGACCCAAACAGTATGCAACTGTGTTTGCTAATCAGGTGTCTAAAAATGATTAAATGTGCATGCAAGTTCTACATGATTTAAGAAGTTCTACAGTCTTTAACAGAGGGGACATGAGATATTTTTCCTATGTTTGCAGGCATGAATGTCACAGCCATTGAAAATTTTGTCTGTGTGATATATAATATTTCCTTCATGAACTGTACTTGGCATGTGGACAGGAATGCTTCAAGAGATGCTCAGTATTTCTTGTACTGGAAGACCTCAAGGTGAGTAGGTCTTCTTGCCTTGGAAAATTTGAATTTTCATCTGACGTGCAACATTATCAATATTAAACTGAAGAAATTTGTCATATAAAGGAATGAAGATTTCGTCAGATGCCAGAATTACATCACAGATAATTGTGGAAGACACACAGGATGTAGATTCCAAAATGTGACAATAAAAGAGAATAGGAAAGCTTATTTCCTGGTGAATGAGTCTAGAAATGGACAAAATATTTTGCCCTACAGAGCGACAATTTATCTGTATGAAATTGGTAAGGACTATTATTATTTTTTATTTTATTTTATTTTCAGCAGTGTGCTAAAAGAATGAGGAATTCAATACTTCAATCCTAGGGGAAAAAAAAAAAAAAAGGATAAGTTTTTGAAATACTGTTCCTCAGACCTCTTATTCTTTTTTCCCAACCTTTGTGACTGAAAAGTCAAAATTATAAGAAAAAAAAATGGAATGCAGAGTCAACCTGAAATTATAGATTGGAGAATTTTGAACATTGGCATCACATATATATTCTATGAAAGAACAAAGTCATCTTTTGGGATTAAGTAGCTATGGATGCCTGAGTGGAAATATCTAGATGTTGGGTTTGTGTCTTTATCTCATGATTCTGAATTCTGTTGAAACAGAAAAAAAAGATCCTTAAAATACCAAATGTCTTAAAACAGTGAGCAAAAACTATAACAAAACAAAACAAATGCACAGATTACATTTCAGAATTCAGTAAAATATAGCAATGAGTTTGTTCTGTTTTGTTTTAGTTTAATCTACAGTAATGTCTGATACTCCAGACTCCTCAACTGAAATACTAAATCAGGAAGTCTTACTTCTGAATATGGGGTGAATCTGGTAATTCTCATCAAGATGCAGTTTTTTAATAACACAGAGCAAAGAGACTAGATTTTTAATCTGCCGTATTCCTATAATGATTGTATTTCTAATTAAATTATTTCAGAGAAGCTCACCCCTCCATTAAATGTCACTGTGAACTGTACAGGAGTTTCTCACAGTTGTGAAATTCAATGGCAACGACCTCATACAAGTCATGTGGACAGAGACATTTGTTTCAAATATGAAATTATCATAGAAAAGAAGGTAAGGAGAGTGAATTATAACTCCTAACATTATTTCATACACCTGCGTTTCAACCTGTGCTATCATACAACAAGTGCCCTGTTCTCTCTTTTCTCTTCTTGAGTTACCTCTCTGTTTTTCTATGTAGAATCCTTGCATGTGAGCTGAGAACAGCTGCCACTCACACAAAAATGCAGCCATTCGCAGGAATACTTTTAGTCCAACATATGGCTGATCATTAAAGGAACTGGTTGAGGACAGTTATTCTAGCACAAACATAGAACATAACTTTCCCCCTCACCACTGTCAACTCTTTCAAAAGATACATTAGTTTAGCCTTCTTCAGTTTGCTACATACGGAAGTTGACTGACTGAATAACAGTGAAAGTATTTTTGTTTCAGAATAAAGTTGGGCAGTAGCATGATTTGGGTTGTAAATTCATTGTATAACTGGAATTCTTGGATTGCTGTGAATGCTCAACATTGCCAGAAGGTTGAATTTCAATGTAGCTAGCTGGTTTAAGGACCAGAAATATATGAAGTTAAACTCATTTGTAGAGCACCAGAGGAAGTGAGTGATTCAAAGAAAAGTAGATGGCTTACACAGATAATGCAGACAACATCAATTAGCACACTCATAGCACTGTCTGTGCAAAGTACTTCCTAGTTTTTTTTTGTTGTTGTTTGTTTCTTTGTTCTGTGTTTCTAGTTTTGCTGTTAACTGGAGCTGTGTGTTTCTTTCGGATGCAGTTTTTGTATAAACAAACATCTCTGCCAGATTGCACTAACCATTTGATTGACCTTGAAGTTTGTATCTCATCCAATTCCGAGGCTTAGCTAAAGTAAGTCTGCACCTTATATACTGTCAGGATTGTGAACAGCACTGCAGATGTCGCGAACGTTTCTTTGTGGTAGCAACACACATCAATTCTTTGTATTGTTGCCTTTTTAAAATGTGCTTGGTTTTGTCTTTGTTTTCCTTAAGTTCGTTGTCCTTTCTTTTTAATTTCAATTGGAAATATTCAGCTATGTTTTTGAATAAAATGAAATATTCTATCATATCACTGAAACAGAATATCCAGGTTTTCCAGATCTTAACGTGAAATGATTGTTGTTTTGCATTTCATTAACTGCAACTATTTTGAAGATTTGGATGAATAAGGTCAGTAGTGTATTATCCATCAAGAATACTGCTTGAAATATTTGTGGAAGTAGTCATGAGTTCTTTGGTCCAACAGCAAATAAGTAAATAAATAAATAACTAAGGGAGACATAACGTAGCTGAATTAAATGACTATGAATGCAAAAGTTACACATACACAGTTTTAAGGGGAAAAAAATTTGTAACAGTTTGCTAGTATTTTCCAAGGCTTGTTTTAGTACAAGTAAGACATACATCTTTCACACATTTTTCCACACACATGTGGAAAAAGCTTCTTTTGTTATTGCTTTTCAGTTCTTTGATTCTCAGTTCTGCACTCCCATTTAAAGAGTTCATTATTTCAGAGCACAGGTGATGAGGAAAAATGTTTCTGTGGAAGAACAGCTTAATTTCACAGTGTATAAAGAAAAGCATTTAAAATATGAAATATACTCTTTAAAAAAAAAAAAAATCAACCGTTTATAAGGTAGGACATCTTATTAAATAGTAACAAAAGGAACAACCATAAAAATTGAAGTTCTTTGTTGTTGCTAGGCTGATCCTGAGGAAAGAATCAAAAACACATCTAAAAAGGTAAGTCTGTTACAACATTAATCTAAAGTTTATGTTGGGTTGAAAAGCCAACCATAAAAGAACATCCTGCAATCAAATCGCTTCCGCTTCAGGATACTAGTGTATAATATAGTATGTATGCTTATTATTAGCAAATTTCCTCAGTACAGTTTTATATTTTTGTTTATAAGACATGGCACAAACAATACTTGCATACATGGAAGTTACGTCTATGCAAGTCACGCATCCTCCATTTTACAGCTCATTGCACTTCCTAGCAAATTCATGCATATGTAGAAATATTATCATAATTTCACATTATGATTGGAGGCAGAAAATTCAGATAACTGTGAAGAATTTTACTTCATAAATGGTCTCAGGATGGGGGTTGGGATGAAGAAATCAGAAAAATACCACCTGAAAGATTAAGTCACTATAAAGGAGGAAGAAAAATATCATTCATCTGTCCACAGAATTATGTAAAAAAAATTTATTCTGTGATTATTTACATCATTAAATGAAGCAGATACCTGTGTTTACATCTGTACATCTAGTGAAAGCAAAGCTCTCAGTCTAGTTGTTTTATATTTAGGGAAGAATCATCACAGGAAATTCCTATATATTTGACAGCTTCAATGCAAATGAAAGGTACAGCGTCAAAATCAGAGCTACTAACAATGACTGCTTAGTGAGCGAAAACTGGGGGGAGTGGAGTACACCAGTAGAATTTGGTAAGAATGAAAATCATTTTCTTGACATAATTTTCTCTTAATTAGTATTTGTCTGCTTCGCTTATTACTTCCCAGGTGGAAACACTTTTAAATTTGCACATCCCTTCAATTTGCTAAGATGAAAAGGAGCAAAGAACTGGCATATCTCTCAATATGAGGGAGGCTTCCAATCGTTCTGCTGTGACAGTCAATACTTCTTGCAAGAAGATAGCAGATACAGCACATCTTTTTCAAGTCTCTGCTGCCATCTGTTTTCCTTCTGTTTTCACAGACCTATCATTTCACCTGTTCTCTGTCACCTTAGATTTTGAAATAATATGTAGACTCTGTTCCTCACAAAATGTTTGGTAAAGCATCAAGTTGCTGAAGACATACTGTCTGCCATCCCATTCCTTCTCATATTACAAGGCAATGAGAAGCTAGGCCAAGGAAGAAGTAATGGCACGATGTTGTGAAATGCCATCATGCATCAGAGAAGATGCTTTACATAGTGCAATAGGTGCATTCTTTCCTATTTTGTGATACTAAACACATTGATGATTATTGTCTTTCAGGAAGAGAACAACTGACATCTATTTCATCATACACATTACTTCTGATATCAGCAATAGCAGCAAGTCTCGTACTTTTCTTCTGCATCATGTAAGTCTTATTTCTTGTGCAAAACTTGTATTCTGGATTCTAATGTAAAATAACTCTTTTTCCCAGCAGAAATGTTCTGATATCTCTTAAGTAGAGAAGACAGGGGGAAAGGTGATACTAAATTATAGCAGGTATCATGACCTCCTGGCCATAGAGTATCAAGTGAGCTCTGTATTTCTGATTCCCAATGTTTTTTTATCTACTTGATCGATAAAGCACAACTCCTTCCAACAGAGATATGAGGTCTTAGGTCAATTCCTCTTTAGTTTCTGCCTTGGTTTAAGGATATTTCTGTTTCAGAGGATAAAGAAAAGCAACTTCCTGTAATTCTTTAACTAGTCATAAAATAAACTGCAAAAATCCAAGTTCTGAACAATGAACTGATGCCACTGGTTTTGACTCACAATTTTTTAGATACCTTTTCATTATTTTTGTCTCAGAGAAAGAAAATAAGGCCTCACTGTTACAATAATAGAATAACATTGTTATAAGTTTGTATATTGAGTCTTTTCTTCTCCACCTTTTTTTGACCCTGTAGAACCATTTATTTAAAAACAGTACCTGCTATTGTACTACAGCCAAAAGACCTATTCCACGATATCTCTCCAGTGAATTTCCAGGTATGTTTTCTTTCCATTTCTCTGATTTTTTTTGTAAAGAAGGATCCACTGCAGTCTCAAACATATGAACTAAGTGTCAGATAAGAGTATATAAGCACAAAATGTATTTCTTTCTTTTTCTTCTGTTGGGGTATCAAAAGATGAGCTCCGTATACAAGTAATTCTCCTGGTTCTCCTTTTCCATTCAAAGATATTTGGTATTGGCTAAATACACCATTTCACCCAGCTCTCCATAGCCTAAGCTTCTCAGCACAATAATAATGTAGATCCAGACGGCTGGTAGCTACGCAGAGAGAGACACAGAGAAATTTACTTCTGGTTAAAAATACTTCTCACATAGCAGATGTTGAGACCACATTAGTATTTGGCAATGCTGCTGAAGGAGAAGAATTTTCCAGGATATGACAAGCAAAAAAGTACAGCAGAATGCTGAGAGGTTTTGATCTGTGCAGAGTGCTTGAGAGACTTATGAGAACAAGGAAAATATCACAAGTAAAAATGAGAGAACTGCCAGTCTGGAAAGCATTGTGCAAAATGCTTTGTTGCCACAATTCAAACAGTATTTTAGTTGGCAATGAGCAGGTCTGGAAGCAAGAATATGCCTACAAGGACATACTGGAAGCTTCTATAAATCCTACTTTCATTTCCTTAGTCACATGAACTTTTCCTTGTTAGATCCAGAGTCACTTTTGTAAAACTTCTTTGGTTTTTTCTGGGGATCTCATCATGAAGGGAAGATATATACTCATCTACTCCAGTCCTCTCATTGCCAGAATCCCACATCTTCTATATAATACATAAATAATAACAATTTGAGTAATGAAGATTCAAAATTATAAACTAGTGATCAATCTCATGCATAAAATGTTAATGAAATATTTTTTTCTTTTAATAGACAGAGAATCAATTCATAAAGCATGAAACTGAAGAAATAATAACAATTACTGAAGAAGCATAATGGCATGCAAAAGAAGAGAATTTTCTTTTTTCATGCAAATGATTATATATGTACTTGTTGGCATTAATTTACAGGTTTTTGATATTCTCCCTCTTGTAAGCAGATGTAACAGCATTGCCTGATCAGGACAGTCTTCTATAATCTGTCATTAAAAAACTTTGTGTTATTTGCCTGGAAATAATATATAATTTCTGTAAGTATTTTGAGTTATATACTCCAACTAGTGGAATACTCTAACTAGTAAGGAGATGTCAAACAGAATCATTAATATGGATTTTAATCATACATTGCACTTCAATAGATGAATCATTTAGATTGGGAAAACCACGAGTTAGATGTCATGTATTACCATGGATTGCCCAGTGCCATGCCTACGTTCCATCTCTTATCTCCCCCATGCTTGTATACCTCATTGCCATATCCTGTGTCTCCCTTCCTGAAGACTTTGGCAGTCATCCAAGCTTATACTGCAATGGTACCTTGATAATAGCACACAAAGGTAAATGTAAATCCAAAAAGCTACAGATACTTGCTCAATGATCTGTTATTAGTAATGGAAATAGCATATTACTGAGCTACAGGGTTACAAGAGCTGAGCTACTTACATTTCTGTTATAAGTGATCTATTTTTTCTCATGTCAGCGTTACCTGAAGCCTCCCTCAAGAATAAATACTGAAGAACTTCTATGCCTACTAAGCAATTCTGTTCAATCCTGTTCCTGACTGGCTTTTCCAATGCCTTATTTGAAATTTCTAAAACAACTACTTGTGAAATGAATTTGATATGAAGAAGAAAAAAAAAAAAAAAAAGCAAGCATGCAAACAAACAAAAACACAACCATAAAATGAACCCTGGCACACTGGAATGTATTGTATGTCTCAAATATGTCTCAAATATGAATGTCTCAAATGACTTGCATGTTCAAATTGCATCCTTGTAAAACAGGAGAGGTGCTGATGAGGGAAAGAAAAAAATATGCCAGATTCTAAAAAATGCTCAATATGGATACATTTAACTGAAGAAGCATGAGTTTCTTTTCACTGAACTGGAGCTTCCAATGAGAATTTCACTTCTGCCCAGAGCATAACCCTGGCTGGAGAGAAACGTGCCCGGAGTCATGCCGTAATGTAAACCAAGTCCATCCGACAGGCACCAAGGCATCTTCTGCAGCATAGGAAATCCCCAGTGTCAGAAGGAAGCAATCGGGGCCACAGGTCACAGAGATCTGAGTCCATGAGTTATGAGAGGATGGCTCTGGCATAAAAGAATTTGTGTAGGGCAAAGGTAGCAGATGCCAAGAACTGTTAGAGAGGTTACTTGAGACTCAAAGGGAGGAACTGTAGTCTGTGTCATGACATCCAAAACATAGGAAGAGGACAAAGGATATATGGAAGATAAATCTAGGCTGCTGGCAGGCAAGCTAAACAATACTCTCATGACATCTCACATATATATAATGCTATTTGCCATCCCCTTTTTTCTTAGGATCTTAAAGTCTACCACATTGCGGTCCTTGCAGTCAGGATTGCAAATGACTGTCATATCCTTGACCAACTCTTCTTTGATGAGTTACAAATCCAACTGAGTACCTTCTGCATTTGGTCTGTCCAGCATCTGTGAATATGATTCCTGATGATCTAATTCTCCATACCCTGCCATGTTGCCCTTCCAGCAGATTTCAGGATGGTTAAAGTCATTTCAGGCAGCTGAAATCCCATCTTAATAGACAAAATTCAGTGATAGTGATAGTGATAAACATCTGCTAGCCCACATGATCAAGATGTTTCCTTTGAAGCCAGATTTTTTTGATTCCATGTTTATAAATAAGTTTTTATGGACAATTTCTTTTGGATAACTTTAAAAATAGAAGTTGAAAAGGAGCCTAGTCTTTAAATTATAACGTATTAACAGTAAGAAATTCTGCATCACAAATGTCCAACTAAAACCAAAACTTACCATGGAAGTCAAAACACATAAGGTCTACTGGATCCTTTCTGTTCTGTTTCACAATCATGACCATTAGTGAACTATTTACACTCTCTTGGCTTTCACTATGGAAGCTGTTGAGGCTGCAAAGCCCCTTCAGAAACCTGGAATTCACTTCTAATGTCCTGATGAGAACAACAGAAGTCCTATTCATGAGATAGAGGAGGTAGGAGTAGTTGGGATTACAGCATCTCTTTCCTGTTCTTGGGCAAAGACCCAAAGTAATAATCACTGGAAAAGGGTAGTCAGGATATGTAACCTTCCAACTATCTGATTCAGATGTTCACACAGACAGAAGTCTTGTATTCTGGTCCCCTCTTGCTATTCCTTTGTTCTGTGGAAAACATCATTTTCTGAAAAAAAGGAAGTAGTGCAAGTACCAAGAAGAATGTTGCAATCTATACAAGAACCGTATGTTGCCATAAAAAATGTTTAGACAGCTCTTGTGAGCACTCTTATTGCTGTTGGATGAATAAAATATTCTTCAAGCTTTAGGATTTTCTAGGAAAGTTGTGTTAATTCTGATCTGGCAGTGGCAGGATCATCATGGAACTCAAAAAACTGAGAAGCCGAATACACTCTCATTACCTCTGTAATTCTGAAAAGAGCCTATTTTTCACCTGCTGGGTTACAGTAAGGCCACTCCACACAGGATTCTTGGACTTCAAGGCTTTGATAATATCATCAACATGCAACAGTTTTGCTTAGTGATTTTTTTTTTTTTTTAATTTGTTTATATTTTTAAAAATCTCAGGAAGGATTTGCCCTAAATACAGACAAGCAAAGAAATCCCCTGGGTAACAGAGCTCCTTTGTGGTGGTAACAGTACTGTCCTTGTGGGTTGTTTGGCTTGTTCTTCTACAATACATTCTAGTTAAAAAAAAAAAAAAAAAAAAGAGTATTCGCACCCCAAAACGTCAAAACCCCTACTTCCTCAATGTGTTGCTTAGATGCATAATCTCAGAAAGTATCAGAGAGTGCTGCTCTTCTACTATTTGCTATAAGCCTGGGAGCTCTTCAGAGTGGGAACATAAGGCTCAAGTAACCATGTAGCGGAGTTGCACTGGAGAAAAGGAACCCAGCGCTGCATGGATCCATTTCTCTTTGTTCACTCATTCTAACATATGTAATTGGGAGGACTCGAAATCTGGAAGTTGACAGCACTTCCCAGAACCAAATTTAGGCACACAGAAAATGCAATTGTCCAGCATCCCACCGCATCTGCACCAGCGTGATGAGCAGCTGAGTCACATACAGGCACTGCATAGCCATCCAGCCACAGCCATATACGGGCTTGTGCTCTGACTGCTTCTCCCAGGAAATGTCTGTAGGCGTGTGGAAATACAGCCCCCTCAGAGCATCAGCTGACCTTAAACACCATCCTTAAAGTGGTGCAGGATCAACAAATGCAACTTTGGTGGAATTGATTCCAGCCTTCTTCCTTTCCACCTATCTCTGGGCTCACCTCAGCACCTTTCCGTCTCTTCTGCAGTGTGAGGTACCAGAGTGGGAGCAGAGCTCCTGCTTTGGAGGTATCTGCTGCAGGAATGGGGTGGGAGATTGCTTAACAATCTGGGAACTATGCTACTGGAAGAGGGAGACAAAGGATCTCTCTCAAGAAGAAAGGAGAGAGAGAGGCAGATGCACAGAAACTGTCTTCCTTCAATTTTCTAAACTCCGTTAGATTCTCTCTGGCATTTGCTATGGCTCTAATTTTATCGCTTTCCATTCTCCTTAAAATATCACCCTAGGGCCACCAGCCCCTGCCACAGTGAGACTGCATAGTGGCCAAGCTCCAGCTCACTACAGCCCTGCCCAACCCTGACATGGCCCCTGCTCAGCTGGGCCCACCATTGTGAGTGCCCCCACATCCCCAGCTGCCTGCTCCTGGTAGTGCTCTTGGATGGGACCTGGCCTTGAGGGCCTGTCCTCAAGCACCAGGGGCAGCATGCTTGGCCCATGGAACGATATGCTTTTTATTGAGTCACCTTTGTATGACTAATAACTATTTACAGACAGAGATAAATATCTCTGAGAGGAAATGTTTTTACATATTTATTGGATTCTGAAGTATTACCGGATTCTATACAACAAAAAAGAAAATTTAACAGCTAACTACTTGTTCATATTGCATGAAATGTGGGTTTTAAAATTGCTAAGACTCTTGATTTTGTAACAATCAGAAGGGAAGTGATGAGCATCACATCTTGCAACACTTCCGATAATATGAGTGTTCCCTAAAATGTAGAAGACAAGGAGGCAGCCCTATTTGTAGCTGTATAACCATTGCAATTGCGAGTCCTTCCATTTTCTCTGAGCCTCAAGACTATGATACAAAGATAAATGAGACAAAGAAGTTTTCAAATACAAGGTATGTCTATCTTTGTCTTTCTGTTTTGTTTATGGGAGCATTTGGTAATGTTCTGAGATAGATACAGGAAGCCATGGGCTGGAGGGCCGATGATCCAGGCATAATCTCAGAAGCTGGCAGAGAAATACATGGAGCTGAGTTGAATAAAGATTTTTGCAAGCAAGATATCTACTGCCTGCCAAGAAAGTTCCTTGGCCACATTTTTTTTATTTTCTTTCTGGTTTTGGCACTGAATTTGTAATAAACTTAGATGCTGCTCCTAGATCTACTTTTATGCATGTATACTAAAAAATACACTTGGAAGTACACTAGCTGAGCTAACACCCTCACCAAATTTAACATACTGATCACTGAGTATCTAGAGCTAATCGATTTTGCTGTGACAAATTCTGATATTTTCTATTTGCAGCTGTTTACCCACATGCTTGAGGTCTACTCATCCTGATAGATAATCTTTAGACCTCAAGATGGCAGTCATCAGGTGAATGTATGTAGAATTTCTAGAGTGGTTCCCAAATTAACAGCTTTAAAAATCATCACACAAATTATTTTGCTGCAGTGAAAAACAACTTTGTTGATCTTGTTACTATCCATTTTAAAGATTCCCTGGCTGCTTGAAACATCTATATAATCTTTTCTTGCACAAGAACTGAGATGGGCAGACAGTTTGGAAGCAGGTAGAATGAGCAGATATGACCAGACCAATTCAGAGGGCAGCGGTTTGCTCTGATATCTGTCATATTGGACAATTTTTGCTGCTTTCTGTCTCCAAGGAAGAAAAGATGCTTGCTTGTCTTGGACTCATCTTCATGACACAGTGGATGCTGCTGGTTGCCCAGATGTATGATGATTGGCAGTGCACAAACTGTGAGTAGAGCACTTCCTGCAGATATCCTCTTAGGTGAAGTGTAATATGCTTCTCTTTAGACATATTTGTCCCCCAGTTGCCTTTTGTCTTAGATCTGGTAAGTAGTAACCTCTATACCTCAAAAATCCGAACATAACCGATCCCTATTATGTGATAATTTCAGGGGAGATGTCAGATTCACCCATCCAAAATTTGATGCTGAATTGGTGGAAAACAGAACTGAGTTGGATCAGCACCATGAATTTCACTAAGTACAACTGTTCTATGACAGTATATAATAATGTGGTCGAAATACAGGTAAATTTTCTATGTAAAATATCAACAGAGATAAATCACTACACTTTATTCTTTTTCTTTCGTATTCTTGAATAACTGAAAAAAGATACTCTGTGTTTTAGCCATTCTTTTTAGTTTTTATTGAGGCCCATCTTGATACTGATATGTGTCTGTCCTCTGACAATTCTCGTGAAATTCTTGCCCTGTGAGGACTATTGTGGGACCAGGATCTTAATGAGACTGAAGCATAAGACTGCCCGTTTTTCTGGTTTCAAAGGAACTTCACTGAGAGGCATCTCATGCTGTATGGATGAGAATTTTCACGTATAGAGGAGAAATTGAGTTAGACACGTGCTCTGACTTACTTTAATAAGTGGTCAGTGGCACTGGAGCTGTAGTGTAGCTCAGAACTGGGACTCATGTGACACAGAAGTTCCATGTGAAGGAACAATTTTTCTGGAGTGGCTCCTGGGATCCAAGCTGGTTATTTCAAACATAGTAGGCACATTTGAATAGACAAACTGAACCAAAACCTGAACAAAAAAAAAGGGCCTGAGCAGCCAGCGGCTCTGTAGCTAGACATTCTTGAAAGGCATTCACTTTAGATCACTCTGCAGGACAGCATGTTCCAGATGCCGTTTTGCATCTTGTCCCAAGAGAGCAGGAAACCTATATGCATAGCTAAAAAAGAAAAATAAGATATATATATAGACATATATATATTTTTGGTTTTGGTTTTGGTTTTGTTTTAATACAGCTCCAACATTTTGATAGCTGACAGGAGACATGGAACTCAGAATGGATTACTTGGACAGTGTTCTGACGTTATGGAAAGATGATTTCTTTGTCAGGTTTAGTCTGTTTTCAGCTCTTATGCAGAGAAGATGGCAAGCTAAACCTTTCCCTGTTTTGTAATTATTACATGTATTAACCAGAATAGGTTTTCTTTTGAAGACTGCTATGTTCTTCAAAGCTAGTCATGAACTCATGGGAATATTTTTTTCCTGAATACATACATTACTCTAGTATTCACCAAATTCTCTTCCTCTAGACACCACAGCTGCAGTAATGTCACAGTCTATTTGGTCAATATCTCTTGTGCATCAGACTGACTTGATTACCTCTAAAGTTCAGGAACGGGAACTGTATCAGGAAATATTGGTTTTGACATCCTTTTTTGCACAAATAAAGAATAAGCATTTTATGCTATGCTGCTCTGTCATTATGCAAAATGTATACCACATTTACTGTTTCTGTAAGCAGTTTCCAGAAGTCTAACTTCTGGGGAATCTTTTAATACTCCATGTAGTTCTAGCATCTGCATCAATGATCACAGATTAGAATAGTCATGTCACCCTCATTTCAACTATCTAAGCATGGAAACCTTAGTCTTCAAAACTCTGATAAAAGCCACTAGTGAGATACAGGTCCTGCCTGGAGAAAATGTATCCCATGTATCTTAGATGCAAACACCTGTGTCCTTTACCACTAAATACAGAAGGCACTTATATGATTTGTTCAAATTGGCTGCTAACATTAAGAAATCTAATACTACTAGACATTAACCTCAAGCCAACTCCTTACCCAAGCAGTCGCTTGTGGGCTATCTCCTTCTGTCTTTGAAATGAGAATAAAGTACAGAAAAGCCATCTGTTGGTTTTTATGAAAGAACATATGCTTCATTTTGAGGAGGTTCAAAAGATTTTTTTATGCTGATGGATGAATAGAGAGGAGGAGTTCCTATTCTTCACACTACTCTGTCATGAGATTTTTTGATGGGAAGCATCAAAGTCTTCACCTTATGCTGATAAAGGCTCATTATCCAACATTTCTAGGAAGGGAGCTCTCTGTCTTAGGGAGATACAAGTACTTACTTCACTCTAACGGTGGACCCACTGTTACACAGAAAGGCTTTCTACAGGAGTAGAAAGGAAAGTAGAAAGTAGAAAGGAGTTGAAAAAGTTAAAAATTAACCAATTGAATGTAATTTTTCAGGAAAAGAATACAAATTGCATCTTTGGAAGAAATCTAGCATATCCTCTGCACAACGGGGCAAACTTTTCGGTTAAAGCAGAGAGTGCTAACAGTACATACTCAGTCACATGCAAGTATATTCCTCAAGGTAATGCACTAGACTTTGGGAAAGGATTTGCATACTTCTAATGGGCCTGAGTGTAAAAAAAAAAAAAAACAACCATGAAGTGCTTCCTTCTTTAGTTATTCTATTTCCTGGAAATGGATATCTCCTTGTTCATATCCTTATGACAATGTATGTTGGACAAGTGAACTGTTTTCCTACAACTTGTAGGAAACTCAGTAAATGTTTTGCCCTTGGTTAATGTCTTGCTTGGCAATATTTTCTTAATTGCAAATTCTCTTCTGAATGTTTTATTAGCTTCATTTTCCTGTATTATTCAAAATCAAGTTGAAATAGGTTTCTGGCTGTGGTTTTTAAATTTTTCCTCAAGAACTGTGTGATACCTTGAATTCTCATGGTGTCACTTTGTAGTGTCCAATCTATGATAACAAAAAGTCTGACAGAATCTGCCCTTTTTTATATGAGACGGATAACAGATATGAGAGTGTTAAGATAATGAGGTACAGTATTTGCTGATTTAAGTAACATATAATTGGAATATACACAATGATGCTACTTCCTGTCTCACCAAGCTCAAAGAAATTATTGTTTCCTTATACAAGGAGGCTAAGTCATCCTTTCTTTTAAAAATACATGTTTATTCTCCTTATTAGCTTCTGTTGGGGTTAGGAGTTAAAGAGTAATTTGTAGTGTTTGTGATCTGGTGATATTAATCTCAGAAATCAGAATAATTCAAGCAACAGAGGTGGCCACTTTAGGTGTCAGCCTGCATTATGGCAACCTAGTCTTCATGGAGCCTAATCCTGTCATATGCAACTTCAGTCATATCTTTGGAGGACATAGCTACATCAGATTCTTCACAAGATCTGTCAGTCTAAATATCTTCCAATACAGCTACATAAAATGATGTTTACCATTCCTAATCAAAACAATAATTGTCTAGAGTTGCAGATATTTGCTGTATCTAAGCATGTGCCAAGATCCTCCACGTTGGAGCAGTCCACGCATTTTTTCTTCATAATGGACATTGCTGTGTTTGCAGGCATTAATGGGTCAGCCATTGAGAACTTCTCCTGTGTGATTTATGACATTTCCCTCATGAACTGCACTTGGCAGGCAGGCAGGAATGCTCCAGGAGATACCCAATATTTTCTCTACTGGCAGAACTCGAGGTGAGTAGGTCTTCTTGAGTCTTGAATTCCCGCTTAACACATCACAGTACCCGTGTTTAACTAAAACTCCTTGATATATATATATATGTGTGTGTGTGTGTGTGTTATATTATCTATAGAGATGATGACGTAATGGAATGTGAGCTTTACATTGAAGACGAAAATGGTAGACATGTGGGATGTAGATTCAAAAACGTGAAGATAGAGAAATCCTATTTTTTGGTGAATGGGTCTAGCAAAAACTCCCTGATCCAGTTCTACGACACAGATATTGACCTATATACAATTGGTGAGTAAATTATTTATTTTGTTTTATTCCTACTATTGCATGAGGGTAATAGAGCATTTATCCCCAAGACAGAGCCTGCAGTCAGACAGAATTGTCTCCCCACATGACAGTTTTTCCTGTTTTCTGAAAATATTTGGTCTTATCATTGATGCTGGCAAAAATACAGTTCAGAAACGGACCACAAGAGGAAGTAGTAACATTCTGAAATAACTGTTATGAGAAGTCTGACCATCCTAACAATTCTTACGTTGAGAGTGAGGATTTTCTGGCTTGAGTGTCATTTATCTAAAAACCGTGCAGGCATTCAAATCCATTAGATGTTAATACCAGAGTTCCTAAATTCTCACTGAAATCTCTAGTTCTATCTTCACTTGTGCAGCTAAGGTGAAATGTGTTGCCCAGTCTGTCAACAAATTTAGCTGATTATTATCCTAAAGATGGTGAACACTGACTTTGTAATTGCTTTCACACTATTTTTAATTATGTTTAAAGCTGTTAAAAATTATCTTATTTCTGCGTTTAGTGTCTGGCTGCAGAATTTAGCTTCAGTTTAGGATTCTTCACAGCTGTAGCCCTTCTCAGCTATTTTCAGCAATCTACTTGAATTACATATACATCGATGGAATTTTGGAGATGGCATTTCACACCACTACCTTTTTCAGTGATGGCCAAAGACATTTCTACTAAAGAGCCAACAGATAGTGCCACCAAGAAGCATAGTTTCATTCTATAAAGAAAAGGAAGTAAGCTGTACTATTACTCAGAGAGATTAAATAAAACTGCTTCTTGACCAAACAGCCCATCACAAACAGACCAGTCTTGTCTGTAAAGACTGATGCAAGATAGTCTAACTGAAACCATTCCCCCTATTATTGTTTTATCACTCCTTTAGTCATCAGTGTCTGCTTGTCTTTTGCTGTTGCAATAGATATTAAGTCCTTGGGTATGATCAAAATACAAAAGTATCTGTACTTTTGCCCGTGTTTGTGAAAGAAGGGGAGATGTCTGAAGTTCTAAATTCTTAAAACTGAAGTGCCATTCTTAAACCCATATGGTTATTTTTGGAGGAGAAATAAGCTGCTTGGTTCATAACACCAAGCAAGCCATATGGTCATGTCACAGAAGAGTTAAATGAGAAAGCTTAAAGAATGAAATAACCTTCAGAATTCTTACATTAGGATTAACATCAGATTGCTCTCCCTAAACCACATTCCTACTTCTTTTCCTGGAGACAGAATATAGAGAACTCTGGTCTTCTAACATAGTGCTCAAGAAAAATAAATGTAAATAGATATATTTATTCACAGAAATGTTACTCACAATTCTTCATTTTTTTTAAATCAAATCAAAAACTATTAAGTGACTGTAAATATTTGAATTCTTGAATTTATCATTTCAGAAAAACTCATGCCTCCATCAAATGTCACTGTCAGTTGTGACGAAAACTCACGTTCTTGCACTATTCGATGGCAACAACCCCAAATAAATCACTCTAAAAAAGACAGATGTTTTAAATATGAAGTTGAAATAACATCCAAGGTAAGAGGAATCTCTAGACCTACATTAAACATCGATGCAAATTTTTACATTTTCTAATATGCATGGGTAAAAAGAAAACCTCTTGTATCATGTAGACTTCCTCATATGCAGCGTTATTTTTCACTGTCGTGCCTTTCTTGCACCTTGTGAAACTGCACCGAACCATTTTATCCCACTTTATGGCTAATCACAACTTGAACATATTACAGATTTGGCAGTGACAAAACTAGAAAAAGTACTTTCTTTTGCTGAGGTTCACTTCTTTCCAGTGGTGACTGCATCTGGGCTGCAGGTACGGGGTGAAGAAATGGTGATTTGGTTAAGCAGTATGAATGTATGGAAGAGGCTGAAATTTCTAATTCAAAATGTAACTAGCTTACCAGACACCATAGCAGCTGGAGATGTATAATATTAAGTAAAAGAAAACAAGTGAGAGAGAAAGCAGAAAGACAACTGGGGAGGAACAGCCTGCCTGTACTGCAGCCCCGCGGCCACTGGGCGGCTGGCGCCGTCCTTCTCTGGAGTTACTGTTCCAAGCTGAGTCTGGAGGCGGTTTGCTAATTCACGGATGATCCCAGATGATTGCTGCTATAAAACCTTACGGCTTCTTCCAATCTCTTTGCCTTTGTAGCAATTAAGTCCTTATACTGAGCTCTGTGTGGCTTTGACTTAAAGAGAAATCACAGTAAAGCAATACAGAATTCTTTATTTTTTAACATGATTAATATCAGGTTACAAAGAATATTCAATTCATATGGTGTCCAAATTGCCTCGTATTTCCATAAGAAATTATCAGCAGTTTTCATGTTACTAATTTCATCAAAGTCCACCAAATACTGCACTGCAAAATGTATTGCCTTCCAATTGCGAAGTATAAAGTGAGAGCAAGATTTTGCTTATATTGTTTTATAGAGAAATATTGCATTGCTAATATACTGCAACCAAAATATATTTGTGCTACAATCAACTTTTAAACTTTATTTTACAACTGGAAATTACTTGCATTGAGAGAAAACAAAAAGGATAACACAATGACCATGAACAGGCTGCCCTCAGGAGTTGTGGAGTCTCCTTCTCAGGAGATATTCAAAACCCACCTGGATGCCTGCCTGTGTGACCTGATGTAGGGAACCTGCTTAGCAGAGAGGTTGGACTGGATGGACTCCAAAGGTCTCTTCTCATCCCTATGGTTCTTTAATTCTGTTATCGTCTTTCTTTCTCGTATGTGACATCAGTAAAAACACTAAAGGGAGATTACATGATTCCATTTTCCCCCTCTGCTCAAGGTAGCTGCTTTAGGGATTCAAGGACCTGCTCTCTTGTACAGCAGCATGCTTTGCAACACATGCTCAGGTGCCACATGAGCACTATTATTTTCTGAAGAAATATTTGATCTGATTTCTTCTTGTTTTACAGTAGGAAAAAAAACAAGACTGAAAGTAATTAAAAACAAACAAAAAACCCCAAACCCACAGGATAGTGGAGATGTTAATTATTAGCCTGCCAATCGTTAGTTGTGTGTGGTCAATATGCTATATATTACTCATTATACCTACACAGAAGAGATATGGGATTTTATTTTCTATCAGAAATGTAGATGAAATATTTATGAATCCAAATCACTTCTGAATGATTTCATCTGAGGGAAAAGAAACATCATTTGCGTGGTATTTACAATTCAGCATAGTGTTTTTTGTTTTTATAAGATATAAATAATAGATTTAAAAAGAAAAGCTTATCTCATGAAGTTCAACAAGGTGAATTGCAAAGTCCTGCAACTGAGTTAGGGCAATCCCAAACACAGATACAGGCTGAGTGGAGAATGGCTTGAGAACAGTCCTGGGAGAAGGATTTCGCAGTGTCAGTTGATGAAAGATTTAATATGAACTGCCAATGTGCACTTGCAGCCCAGAAGGCCAATTTTATCTTGGGTTGCATCAAGAGAAGTGTGACCAGCAGGTCAAGGAGGTGATTCTGCCCCTCTACTCTGCTATTTTGAGACCCCACCTGAAGACTGCATCCAGTTCAGGGGCCCCCAAAACAAAGAGGACATGGAGCTGTTGGAGCAGGTCCAGAGGAGAGCCACAAAGATGAGGGCTGGAGCCCTTATGGGGAGAGGCTGAGAGAGCTGGGGCTTTTCAGCTCGGAGAAGATTCCAGGAGAACTTAAAGCAGCCTTCCGGTACTAGAAGGGGACCTGCAGGAAAGCTGGGGAAGGACTTTTTTTAAGAGCATGTAGCAATAGGGGAAATGGCTTTAAATTGGAAGAGGGTAGATTTAGACTAGTTATTAAGAAGAAATTATTTTCTGTGAAAATGGTGACACACTGGAACGGGTTGCCCAGTGAGGTTATGGATGCCCCCTCCTTGGAAACATTCAAGGCCAGGCTGCATGGGGCTTTGAGCAACTTGGCCTAGTGGCAGGTGTCCCTGCCTATAGTGGCAGTTTGGAAATAGATAATCTTAAGGGTACCTTCCAACTGAAACCATTCTTTGATTCTGTGATCTTAAAGGCTTTTTCTGATGTGTGTAAGAATAGAGTTACTGTTTGCATTCAGACCAGGGTGTTGGGTTTTTTTTGAGTGTGTTTCAGTTCAAGCATCAATCTGAAATACAATTTATTTCTCAGCTCCAATGGTAAGGAACACAAATACTTTTCCATAGAAGAAATAGTTACTATAAACTTGGCATTGCAGTTGAATCACATATCAGAAATAAAGTATTAGGTAAATTACTAGGTAAATTAGGTAAAATGTTCATCAAAACAAACTGTGAAGTATATAAGACAGTAATGCAGAGAAAGGTGATAGACAATTGATTAAAATGACTGTCTTAACAAAATAAAAAAAGCGATCATAAAAATAAAACTTTTCTCTCAATATACAGGGTAACTCTGCAGAGTGGACCAATCAAAGTTATACAAAAGTAAGTTTGATTTTTCTATTTATCAGCAGTGTATGTTCGTTTCATAGTCAATTGTGAAAAGCAAATAGCACACAATTGCATCTAGCATTAGTTCTACACTTTATGATATTCTTATTTATGGGCTTCTGAAATGTGTCTAGCTGCTAAATAATTATGATATTTGTGTCATTTGTCATACATTCAAAGAAATGTGGAAAAAAAAACAGAAAAGTTACTGTTCCATAACTATTTTTAACATAAATATTTCTTCCTCTCAAATGTTTGGGTCAGAATTTGAAAATACGCATTAGTGACAGAAGGGAAAGAAGTCATTGAGAAAACTTCTTCTAGGAATTTAATTCAACTTATGTATACCCAAAGACCAAAAAAAGCCCTTTGGAATAGTTCTGCAGGTATGCTGCACCTTCTTCTACTCAGTACAGCCTACACTTCCCACTCCAATTCTGAAAGTATCCAAAGAAAGAGTATGTTTTGGGAAGTTCTGGTATAGCTAAGTACTGCAGTCTTCTTATTTGACAATATTTTACAATTTTGGTTTGTCCTAAGGAGCCCTATTACAAAGACAGAAACATGAGCTACATGCAGATGGTTTATTCTTTGCATTATAGAATTTTAGCAGCACTAATATGAGATGATTCAAGATGCTTTTCTGCTTCTGTAAATGTAGCAAGGAAAATCATAAATAAATCGTAATTACTGATGATGTAATTTCATAAGAAATTACAGGTTAACGAATATAAGTTGAAAAGTTGAAAGTTCTAGACAGCAAAATTTATGGAGTGATAGACTATACTTGAAAGGATACACACATAGGTACATATATGCTACATACTTTAAAAGCAAGCATATATTTTTTGCTCCAAAGCAGCAGTCTGATCTAACAAGCAATTCCTCCATACCTCGAAAACTCTCACTGGTAAACGCAGCTTCTACATTGTCAACATCTAGGAATTCAGCAACGAAAAACTCAGTCTAGATGTGATTTTGTCTGTTTGCTTAGGAAATTATTACAAGCCACATAGTTCAAAATCCCAACATGAGAAAGAAGAACCTGGTGAAAATAAGAGCAGCTGGCCATACGTGTAGAGTGAGCAAAGACTGGGGGGAGTGGAGCGCAGCTGTTGAGTTTGGTAAGAATAAAAAATCTTTACCCTGACTTATCTTTCTCCCTGCTATGACCTAACTACTTCACACATGGATGTGCACTTACAAAGAAAAATATAAAGTATACGTAAGCATTGTGTTTCATTGCACATTACTGGGAAGGAGAGAGATGATTAGTTTATCTCCTAACATTCTAACTTTGGAAATCAATAAAAAAGTTGTATATTTGAAACTGTAGTCCATCATGCCTGCTTAGCGCTGAGGATTAACAAACAGGTTTGGTGTTAATCTCTCCTGGAAAAATGTACAGCTAAAACGCTAAAAGAAAAAAAGAGTTGCATTTTGTTCTAGGAGAAACCTTTTGGACTGACATTCGTTAGTCGGAGTACGTGCTTGACTGTGCATTTATTGCTTTTTATTAACAATAGTGATTCATGACTGTTGCTCTTTCAGGAAATGAAGAAATTTCTTCTTCAGTATGGATTTTACCCGTAGTGGCAGTTGCAACACTCTCAATACCTATCTTTACAATTTTATTCTGCAAAAGGTATATGGAATTTATACTTCTATTTTATTTTGTGTGAATGTTTGAAACATCTGCAGTTCTTAAACAAATAAATTATGCAGAGGTGCCTCTGAACACATTTTCACTCACAATCTAATAGAAGCCAAATTAAAAAGGTGTTCTCAAGGCAGACATTATGATTGTGATACCTAAAGTCTCTGGTTGACTCACATACATTTTTTCAAGAGTCTCTACTGTCAACATGGCAAGAAGGTTAATTATGTTTCATCATTTACCACAGAATCATAGAATTATTAAGGTTGAGAAAAGATCTCCAAGATCATCTAGTCCAGCTGTGCATCTACCATCAATATTTCTCCACTAAACCAAGTCCCTTAGTACCACATCGACATGTTTATTGAACATCTCCAAGGTCTGTGACTTAACCACCTCCCTGGGCAGCCTGTTTCAGCACCTCAACACTCTTTTGGAAAAGAAACCTAATTCCAACTCAACATCCCCTCACTCAACTTGAGGCCATTTCTTCTCATCCTGTTGCTGGTTACATGGCAGAAGAGGTCGACCCCCCACCCTACCACAACCTCCTTTCAGGAAGTTTTAGAGAGCAATAAGGTCTCCCCTGAGCTTCCTCTTCTCCAGACTGAACAATCCCAGCTCCCTTAGCTGTTCCTGCCAAGACTTGATCTCCAGACCCCTCAACAGCATTGTTGCTCTTCTCTGCACATGCTTCAGGGTTTCAATGTCTTTCCTGTAGTGAGAGGCCCGAAACTAAACACAACACTCAAGGTGTGGCTGAGTACAGAAGGATGATTGCTTCCCTGCTCCTGGTGGATTCAACTCCATCCAGCATCACTCTCTGGGCCTAGCCCTCCAGTTGGTTCTTTATCCAGTGAATTGTGTATCTGTCCAAGCCAGTGTCAAAGGCTTTGCTGAAGTCTAGGTAGACTATGTCAACAGCCTTTCCTTCATCCACCAGGCAGGTCACTCAGTCATAGAAAAAAATCAGGTTGGTCAAGCAGGACCTGCCTCTCATGAACCCATGCTGACTGGGCCTGATCTCCTAGTTGTCCTGCACATGTCCTGTGATCTCACTCAAGATGATCTGTTCTATAACAATCGGTTCCCAGGAGCAGACCATCGTACCTCCTTCTGCCTCCTCTCCTCAGAGTGCTGCGCAGAACAGTGAGGTCACCTCTTAGCCTTCCCTGCAAAAAAACCTAAGTTTCAACAGCCTCTCCTCATAACAGCTTTTTAAAGCCATTCTTACCGACATGTAGACTGTCTGCCAAAAGATGTGATTTCTTGAAATGTAGTTATTGCAAACACACAGGTTGATTGTACTTATCAGTACAGATCTTCTAACATTCTAACATTAGAATTGTCCTAGCAAGCTAAATTAATCTGAGAATGCATAAGAAATTTGCATTTCTTCCTGAAATAAACTATGCAAGAGAAATGGAAAGAAAAAGGATAGTCTACCTTATCATGCGCTTTGTATAGAAATATGCAGTAATTCAGAGAAGACTGTTCTTTCTACTTGTTTAAAAGTTTATGTTCACTTTATACTGGTTGCAGTGGCTTAAATATGATCATAGTAGTAAGTTCCTTCTTATTTCAAAGAAAAAAATAAATATTTTGAATCTAACCAAAAAGAAAATTACTACCATCTAAATTCTTAGTGTCTTCCTCATATGAATTCATTCTGTGACATGATGATGTACAATTTTCATTTCTTTTCTGAGGAAGATTTCTTCCCCTGGAGGAGGAAGATAAGAGCTTGTTCAAGGGTGCAGTGGTTTTGACACACGCTAGATACTTTATTTTTCTGTTTTGCTCTATCCCATTTGAATTCCAGGACTGGTTATTGGAAAGCAGTATTTCCACAAGTTCCAAAGCCAAAAAATCCATTTCATGGACAGCTTGATATAAATCCACAGGTAGGCTTTCTTTCCATTTTATATTAAATGCATGAAATGCAAAATAAGACTACACTGCAGGTTTAAAGGTAATGTTTAAATGATAAGGAACTTAAAGGAAAGAATAACTCTTTCCTTTGCCATATACTGAGGAACTATGAAAGAAAATCAGCAGGGAATTTGTTAAGGGAAGTCAAATGCAGTACTCTTCTCCCCCCAGGGGGTTTCTGCTGTTCCAGTTTGATGGGCACAGGGGTTAATGCTTTCACTGGTAGGTCTTATACCTATGGATGACTTACCAGCATCACACTGTCACCAACATAATTATAAACATAAATAACACAATGTCCCATAAGCAGAGCCACAAACAGCCCAGTCTGGCTGCTTCTCTCCAGCTAGGCAGGATGAACTTTGCCAGTGGGACATGTACACATCTGTACTCAAGGCCTGTTCAGTTAACTAAGCTTCAGGCCAAAGTGTACTCACCTGGTTATGTACCTTAATAAAGTTAATCCTTTTGTTCTAATTCTTTTAAAATTATCTGTGAACGGTGTGTTGGAGAAAAGCACACTTTCCCCCTAGCCATTTTCAAGCCAGGCTGAAAATCATGTTTCAGCACTACAGAGGTGTTGAAATTTCAGTATTTTGTCTTTCTAAGGAAAGCTTATCTGATAAGGAAAAAAAAAAAAATAAAAAGTGAAATATTTCCTTAAAATATGCAAAAAAAGTTGAAATATTCTCAGAATTACACATACATAAGTTAGTCACATGTATAAAACTAACAGAAATTTTAATTTTCCTTTCAGACGATGGAGTGCAAAATGCAGTCAGTAACTTCTGAAACTGAACAAATTATAGTAGTTGCTGAAGTAGTAAAATAGTAAAAACAAATGAGGAACCTGAAAGTGTACTTTTTAGTTCAGGCAGTTCAGCTCTGCAGAAAGTCAGGGACTAAAATGCATAGGTAGTATAGCCAAGAGATAAGATTATTTATGTGTAAGTTTTTGAAATGCCTTTGTCTTTTCTTTTAATTTCATCTTACTTTAGCTGTCTGGGTAACTGTCCTTACTGGGTATCTTCCATTCTGTGAATATGATTTAAATATTTCAGTCAAGAAGTTTCAGTTACAACTTGTTAAAGAAAAATAATAGTGTTTTTTTGTTGTTGTTGTTGTTTTTTTAATCATATTAAAAATACTAAGAGCCAACATACTGAGAGGGCAGGCCAGCTATTTAGAGGGACCTTGACATGCTGAAGAAATGGGTTGATGGAAACCTTACAAAGTTCAACAAGTGCAAATGCAAAGACCTGTACCTGGGACAAACTAAATCCATGTATCCTAGTGAGTGGGTGACAGACAGGTTTGTAGACAAGGCTTTGGTCCTGGTGGACAGGGTAGACAAAAATAACCAATGTGTCCTTATGTATGGTCAGGTGACAGGAGAGCACAGAGATCCCCCTTTCAGTTAAAACCTAATTCCATACAAAGCTCATTCTGGAGCTGGAGTTATATCAGAATAGTCCTGTCATCTGACTCCCTGGTTTGGATGGTTGGAAAGTAAGCCATCCACCTGTTCCTACCTGAGGATGTTATGCTGGAAGCTCACCATGACTTCTAAGTTGATGTTAATATTCAAACAAAAAATGGTCAAGCGTTTCACCCCTTAACAGAATTAACCTTTGAGTACTTTCATTCACAATAAAAAGAACTTTATCCTCTGAGGTAGTCTCATTGATTTTGACAGCTCACATATCTTTCTGCTTCTTTTGGCCTTGGAGATTCAGGTTTTAAGGATGTCATAATGTTCTTCATAAGTAAGTGAGGAAGCATGGCTAGAACAAACTTATGCTTTAGTGTAAAACTGCTTTTTATTTTGAGACAGAAACTTGGACTACAGTATCAGGCATCCAAATATAGTTATTTGATTATTAGACTATTTTTTTTTACAATGCTATATGCTTGATTATCAGATTAAATATTCCCAGGACAGTTTTCTTGCACCAGGACCAACTGCCATTACATACTAGCCCCAGTCTGAGATAATCCCTGGACTATGCCCAGGATTTGTTCAGGACATTGACATTGTTTGCAAGTCCTGGCCAAGTCAGTGCTGAGAACAGTTGTTTCTGGACTCTGTCCAGTGCCGAGGAGTCGTCCAACCACCAGCACTGGCAGGAGCTATTCCCCACACTGTCTAACTTCTACTCTAGATAGGTGCAAACAGCTCTTGGTACAACTACTGCATTTGAAAAAATTAATGATTGCCACTGGGTCAAAGACTCACCTGGGAAGATTTTTCCTTCAGATTACAAGAACAGGACCAATTTCTCAAGGAGAAGGAGCTGAACATATGTACAAATAGCATTTGCACATACTTCTCCCAATACGCAGCAATAGCCAGAATAGAAATGCTCACAGTCACAAGCAAAAAGAGTGATGACATTGTGCTAGGCCACACTAATTTGTACAGCTTTGGATGATATCATTCCTGTTGGGCAAAAATGCCAGGGAGGAGCATAGTTTGACTGTAATCCACCATAGCATAACCATGAACTAGGAAGCATTAATGGCTCGCTGTAGGGAATTGAATAGGAAAGTATAAGACAGTATCTCTTAGGAGATCGCATTACAGTCTGGTAGATACAAAAGAAACTCCTTATTTCCTGTTTTCTTTTGATAAGGAATAATACGTTAGCTTATTCAGGGAAGGAGCTCAGGAAAGGCTGGCAGGTCATTTAGAACTACATTCTCTATGCAGAACAGTGAGACATTGTAACACTTAGGGAAACAAGCAGACATATTAGGAGTCCAGCTTCCCAAACCAAAAGGGCGCAAGGAGGAAAGGAACAGATAACAGTGGATGTCCAAAGGAAGTAAATGTGGAAACTCAAATCTATGCAGTTCTCACAAGAATCGAACTTAAGGGTGATAAGACCTGGCCAGTCCATTCTGTATCATCTTCAAAAGGTTGTGGAGACCAAGGAGGTCTTTGTTGACTAGAGAAAGGCAAGTATTGCTCCCATCTTTAGAAAAAGTTCTGAAGATTATCCCAGGGCCTGACAGCTTGGAATGTCATGATGGGAGTCCTATTGGAGCACGTTTCTGAGCACATTTCTGAGATAAGGAGGTTACTGGGAGTAGTCAGTATGGTTTTTAAAAGAGTAAATACCCATGACAATTGGGGTACCAGAAGGTTCTGTCCTTAAGTCTATCCTGTTTGACATCTTTGTTGGTGAGATCATGTTTGTAGATAACACCAGATTGGGTGACCAATTCATTTGCTCAAAACAGAGGCCACACAGACTGAAGAAAAGGTGAAAAACCAAACAAAACCTGAATTCATCCATTAATGACTTTTAATTTAAGTTGCCCAGAAAAGGAAAATTAGTGTGTGTGGTCTTTTTTATTTTTTTTATTTTTTATTTTTTTTTTTTTGTAATATTATCTTTTTCAAAATAAGTGTTGTGAAAAAATTTCCTGTGCTTTTCTTAAAACTCTATGAATTACACTAGTCACTGTTAGTCTGTTACAAAAGAGTTTCATACAGCATTGGGCAACTTGTTGAATTATCCATCTGTGATCTAATCTTTTTTTAATGAAAGGCTGGTGAAATTTCTGAAACTTTTATCAGCCTAGTGTTTGTTTTTTGTTTGTTTGTTTGTTTTTCTCAGCAAATGCTAATGCTAAACCAAGATATTATTGTAATTGATCATCCAGACCATGTAGAGTGAATTTCTCTCTCTTATTTATGATAAGCTACTCATGAATTGGCTACTAATAGCTACACCAACACTGTGGAACACCACCTGCAAGAGTTCAGAAGACCACCTGTGGACCAAGAGTACTGGTTCTGGAAGAGATTGTCCTGGGGGAGCCGGAGAGGTCATGGTCCATGCCTCAGTGCTCCTGAGTCTCAACTGCTCACATTGACAAAGCACAGAATAGCACATTGCACAATACCAAAACCATTTCTGGTTTATTATAAACACAAAGATAAGCAGTTTGTCAGTTCAGAAACAGTTGATCTGATGGTTCCCAGGAGAAGGTGGGGCATGTTGAAGGGATACATAAAAGAGATCAGATGTCCTTAAAGGAAACTGGTTATCAATGGAGTCAGAGTCATGGTCTTGTCCACATAGATAAACCAGGGCACTGTGAGGGCCATGTGTCCTCCTGGGAGGTACACAGAACCTGAGGACAGCCATGGAGCCATCAGGCCATGATCTCTCTGGCCAGAACTATCCTAGAGCAGCCAGTGAGCGAGCACAGACAGCCATATCCTAAGGAGAGGGAAGAATAGTGCACACAGAGCCCCAGTGAATTCATCCAGACTGGAGATTTGAAACACATTAGTCAAGACTAATGTAGCTACTCTTTGAATAGTCTGAAAGTACTAATCAGATGAGACTGTTAGACAACCCTCAGTTTATTCACAAACATGCCACCACTACTGGATGCAAATCCTTTTAACAAAATTAATTATCTTTCCAGAAAAGCTTACAAGTTTAAAAGTATTTAAAATTATCTCTGAATTCTTAATTGGTCATTTGCGTATTTTCTTCACCTGAAATTACTTGTCTTACTTCTCTTAGGTTCTGTCCTTCAGACCTTCCTCTTCCTCAACCCTTTCCAGTGCTTGTTCCTCCTCTCCTGTTCCTAGGTGAAAGCCATCTATTGAGAGCATGCTCAGGCCCAAACCCTCCCCAGAGTCTCTCACAGGGCTGGTTCTCAACCAGCAGAAAACAGTACTGATATACTTGTCCTGAACATATCTTGGGAAGAAAGAAATTGAACAGCATTGAGCTATTTTAGCTCCCACTGTCAGAATAAACCCAGAAACAGACAGGATGAGAAGCAAGTCCAGAGAGGATGGAAAATGGAACATGCCAATCCTCTTCCCAAGGTGCTGAAAACATGACAAGGACTGAGTCAACACTAGGAATGTTGCTTGAGAGACCAGAATATTTAGCTGAAACACATACACTCTTCTCTCAGTATTCCTCACTTTATCTTTACATAG